GTGTGTGTGTGTGTGTGTGTGTGTGTGTGTGTGTGACCCACCCCTTATCCCTCCGGGTGGTCAGCGAAGGGCCAGCAAGGCCAGATGCCGAGGGGGGCAACTGGCCTTGTGGCCAGACGGCCCCCCCGGACACCACACACACTACACAACCACAGACACAGACACATACACAGCCACATAGCACAGACTTAGTCCATCTTGAAATCAGTCTGGAGGTGGAATTCCACGAGGTGCCTGTCCACTCGCCCGGGCTGATAGTCAAAGCTGCCCTCGAAGAGCTTCTTGACTACCGCCCAGCACCTCTGGGTTTCGAAGCCATTCTCATACATCACACTTACTATCTCGTTGATCTCCCTGGCGGCCTCCCACGGGTCCGTGAAGAGTAGCAGGACGAGCGCAGTCTGCGCTGTAATGATCTGCAAGGATTGTGCAATGCTCCGGTTCGAGTTTAACCTCATGAATCTACAAGGGGGAAAGCTCAGACCTTTTTTCCTGTCATGCTTAGAGGTGGAGTACGAACCCTGCTCCCTGGATGAGACCGCAATCGTCATGTTGAGGAAGTTGGTACTGATGCCCACATCACCGTCCTTCACTTCAGTGGTTTCTTTCATCTCGATGTAGCTCTTCGGATAGATCCAGATCGGGTCAGTGCTCTGGTCGCAGTCTTCCCTGAAAAAATCACGAATCGCTGGATTGTTCAACGAGCAGAGGTCGTCCACATACCTGTAGGTGTTGTCGAAGGCTGGTACCAGTTGCTCGTTGCCTGTCCTCAGAAGTCTGATCAYTGCTTGGTACTCATATCTGAAGAAATAGATGTCGCACCAGACCGGGGAGCAGGCCAGGCCCATCAGTATACCCAGCACCTGCTTCCAGACGCATGTGCCCATCTATATCAGGCTGTGCGCCAGGCACCACTGTGTCACTGCCACTATCTCCTCCTCCTTGAAGAAGAGCTCATCGCCAGTATTCTGCAAGCGCTCCTCCACCCAAGATGGGAAGAAGTACTCGTCAGCACTAACCCTCACCCTGATGACGTCCCTAGAGCTCCTATCCCTACGATATTCTAGGGCTAGCGGCACGAAGAATCTGACCGCCAACACTAGGCTGTGCTCGGAGTCGTCAGTGGGGATGGTCTCAAAGCAACGTGTGATGTCCGCCGTATAGACTGAGAACAACAGCTGCGGAAGATTGGCTGCGAATTGTCCGACCGATGCAATGGGCCACCAGAGGTTTGGTTTCACTCCGTATTCAGCCTCCATTTCAATGCTTTTCTCTTCACAGGAGCCCTGCACACAAGGGACGAGGAAGCTGAGCAAGGAGGCGCAGAGACTAGCCATCGGGGAGACGATGGTATTGGCGGCGTTGGTGATCCACCGGAAGGTCCGTTTGTGTGCTTTATAACCTGTCATGAGGTGCGGGAGTGCTCCGTTGCCAACAGGGAGGGCTGGTAAATGGGTCAGTTCTCCTCTGATACCGTTAATGAGTGGATCCGGATCCTCGTTGAGGTGAACGAAGTCCGRACCTTGCAGTCTGCGCAGAGCCATGACCCTGATGAAATCTACGCAGACAAAGGATGGGGTACTAGCGGACTTATCGGTAGGACAGATCAGAAAGTGCTCAGTCAGGAAGTCTATCTCCCTCCTGGTACTAGTCCGGTCTATGGGTTCCGCGGAGATGTGTCTSTTCTTGCTACGGTGACCGGCCATCTTGGCCTCATCCTTCTGCAGGACCAGCTGTTTGAACTTCCTCCTGCGCGATTCGCTCAGACTCGCGATGTCATAGGAAACGATAATAAGTTTGTCCAGTAGAAGGTCCACCTCATACAATGCTTCCCTGATGTCGTATGCCCTTAGTGGAATGTGGTTGAGCCCTGCCTTCAGCATCGCTTGCAGTCTCCCGTTGTTGGTAATGGAAGTGTCCATCGTCAGGACGTGCGTCTGCTCCGATCCTGGAAAGAGCTCCAAGGTGTGCTGGCTGTGCAAGTTCATGTACGTGCTGGTTCTGCAATGGCACTGGGCTGGATCGTACTGCTTGGTCCATTGTTCGATGTCGAAGTCTTTAAACACCTGCTTTGGTTTGCACACGTGCGCTGCAACGGATTTGTCGTAAGTCCATCCGAACACGAMGCCATCCAGCCATTGCACCGACTCTTMGCCTGCAACACTCCGGAGAGCATCCTTAATGAGCCTGCGGATTGAGTTGCTTCCATGGCCCTGCTGGTATTCTTCATGTGCAGGAAGGTCAGATTCTCCCGCTTGTGCCTCTTCCGGACCAATCTCCCAGTCAGCATCCGAATCATTTCCCCACCTGTCGCTTCGTCCCCATCGCCCAGCCTGGGATCCTACCGAGAGAGGAGGAGGAGGAGGAGGGGGTTGTAGCAGGGGGAGGGGGAAGCGGGACAGCTCGGATCACAACGGACCACATGGACGGTTCCAGTTCTTGATCAGCACGACGCAGGGGCCGAGGCCTCAAGCGGCAGACAATCGGGGGAGAGAGAATGAGAAAGGGCAGAGAAAAGTCATGCACTCAGACACCCATCTATGTTTGCAGATCCACAACTCAGGACTTATGTTCATATTATATACTCAGGTACCTGTATACATATCCACATAAACATGCATATATATATATATATATATATATATATATATATATATATATCGTGGTATAGGGACAAAAGAAGCAGTCCTGGACCTCCCCCCCACAAAACAATTTGATGTCAATGGATCTGTAAACTCAGGCCTGCGTTCCATGTATTCCATTCAAGCACCTCTACACATATATATACCTGCAGGGGTTAATTAATTCTGAATGATCAATAAAGCTCCCTTCCCGATGCAGGATGCTTAGCAGGTACGCCTATGTCCCTATACTATGATGTGTGCACCTCCGTAGTTCCCATATTGCTGCAAACCTGTGCTACGGGGGTGCGCCCTTGCGCCTAATTGTGCTATTCTATCCGTGCACAATTAACATAAGGGTGCCAGAGGATCTTGGGGGGCCACGTATATTAGTGAGGACGTGGTGCTGTCCAATCATGGTGTCAGTATTTGAATACCCCTGTTGTGGGTGGTCTTCTTCTTTTGCCTCGTGTTCGGCAGAGAGTGCACGGAGTCAATGTCCGAGGTATCCTCAGGAGCCCTCTTCTTTCCACGTGTTTGCGGAAGTCGCGGTGCCAGTGGTCGTGCCGACACTGGGGTGGCGAGGATAGGTGGCTGCCCGCCCCGCTGAGAAGATCGCTGCCCCGCTCCCGCCCGCTCAGTTCCGTCCTGCGTAATTCCTTGTTGGGCGATGCTGTCGCTCAGTGGCTGAGTCCCTCCTTGCCCATGGGGGGTGTGGCTGATGCCGCAACCCGCCGCTACTGCCGGTAGATCAGCTGCAATCTCCTTCAATCGCTGTGCTTGCTGCAAGATGGGCTGTTGCCGCTGCTGGTCCGCGTGTGCCGTGGTGTGAACAGCCTGCTGCTGCGCGGGCTGTGCTTGCGCAACTGTTGGTGGTACATCACCGGCCACTCCGTTGGCCATTTGGAAGTTGAGCCTACGCTGTCCTGGAATCTGAGCGATTGGGTTCCTGCCCCTTGGGGGTGGCAGGACCGTCCTCGGTCTGTCCGGGATCCTTGTCGGAAGGAGGAATCTGCCAAGTGCCAGTGGGAGCTGATACCTTTACAGTCGTTCATCCCTGATCACCAAGTCGGCTGTGCGCTGCGGGTCCTGTTCCAGTGCTTCGATGAAATCCATCATAATCTCTCTAACGAACACGAAGGTGATGCACCCTGTCACATTCTCCCGCCACGTGGTCCTGAGGTAATGGACTAGCATCGATGTCCTGACTCTAATTGATGACAGCGTGGGAAAGAGGATGTCTGTGTGCGCTAAGAGGTACCAGATGGCGTGGTCGACCCACAGGGGGCCGCCGGGACAGTCCTTATCCTGATCTCCTTGCTTGCAACTACACTTGAGGTACGGCCTCCCGGCACTCCAGACCTTGCGAAGATTCCTAAGGTCACGTGCTGGAGGTTGCTTGATGGCTTTGTGCCACATGACCGGGCTGGAGTCCCCGCATTTCTCCGGGTCCACGTAGCTCATCAGTGGGAAGACCAGGTCACTAGGCGAAAAAGGATTGACCGATTTTCCACAGTATTTCATCTGTGCGGTGTAAGCCCGGGTCCTACATTTCCTAACCTGATCGTCTGTAAGACCGTCCAGGAATTGAAAGGCTTTCATCGAGATTGGTGCCACGTGATTGTACGTGTCGAACTTCCATACGCGGTGATCGAAGCCGGTCGAGGTGTGCTCTACCCATCGCTGCGAGGCTAATGGCGCAAAGGCCGTGAATTGCCTGGACGAGGAGGCCGATCGTCCCGGCCTAGGGGCAGCAACCCTCCTCTGCGAGGGCTGGTGCACTGTCGCAGAGATAGTGGCGATTGCTTGCTGCATCTCGGCCATCTCCTCCTCATTGAGTTCAAACGGTGTGCAGCCTGTCGCTTGGCTAGGCTCAGGCGGGGCGGCTCGTTGTGCAGGTGCAGCTGGCGGGGGAACTGGTGCGGCTGGAACAAGATCCCTCAGGTGCGAGTCTCTCAGTCCGCAAGCCCCCAGGAAGATCTGCTCTATCCTAGCTTCCCGCCTAGCCAAATTGGCGCACTCCCGGGCATAATCCCCTTTCAATCGTTCTAAGTCCGCCCCTAGATGCTCAACCTCCCCTTTGAACCCATCGGGGTTGCTATCCCATGCCATTTCCAGTTTTGCCAGGTCACTGAATCCCACTATCTCGAAGAAGTTGGGGAATCGTCCGGTTTCCCATACTTGTTTGACGACCTCCATTGTCTGCGTCTTCATACACGCGAGTAGTGCTTGAGCGGGTTTGCTGGGGGACGGGCACTGCTCGAGCCAGGGAAATCTCTCGGTGATCTCGCTCCACCAACCTCCTGGGAAATCCTCGTTAGGAGCAACCTGTAATCCACAAGACGGGTAGTGCACAAAAATGGGGGGGAGGAAAAAGGGAAAGAAAAAGGAAAAGGAAAAGAAAAAGGAAAAAGAGAGAGAAGAGGAGATGGAAGGCGCCACAACAAGAGGGGAGGGGGAGGGGTACAGAAGCACGGGCCACTCGCAATTGTCATCCTGGTGCAACTCGTGGTCAATTCAGCACGCCATACCTCACTGCTGCAGTCTTTTCGATGTCATCGCCTTGCTTCGAATTCCTGGCCATTCTCCTTTGCGTCCCGCTGTAACAGCGTCCAAGCAGTACGGGGTGCCGCTGACAGGGGCACCCATCAGCAGCACTGCAGGGATAATCCCACTCGTGTGTGTTTTGATGTGTGTGCATAAAGCACTCCATGGCAAGTTACACTATGCCAGGCATACTGCACCGATGACACGTCATCGGCACACCCCAAGCTTAGGAAAAGTCGCAAGTATGGCAGATTCTAATTGCGGCGATAAAAACATCTACTTGGATCTCCAAGTGATCCCGGCATCCCATGAATCCTTCCACTGGTACGTGAATAATCCTAGTGCTGGCCCAGATAAGTTATCTCTCCGGTGCCCTTGGCTTGGGTCGTTGAATGCGTGAGCACCGCGCCTGCCTGCATACTTCATTAACTACATGGGTCCTATCGGCTTGGGAGATTGTTTTCTTGAACAAGCTGCTTACGTAAGATCCAGCTGTCCCCRTTCTCCGCCCATCCTAATCGACAATGCACGATAGTGTCATAACTTCGTTGCATGGAATCAGTGCAATGGATCAGTACCTCACAACGGCTCAAATGAAGTAGAGCGTCGCCTACCGATTTTGACAAGGCGATGCTGCTTGGCAGAAAGCACAGGGAGATCCTATCCCTGCCGTGAGAGTCAACTTATAAGTTACGCTGAGGTAGAACGAGATAAAGGCAGAGGAAAGAATTCTCAGGTCGGGTTGCTCGACCACTCTGTTTTTTTATTGTTTGGTACGCGGGAGGGCCGGAACGGTGTGGCGAGATACTGATCTGCTTAGGCATTGATCAGTCTCTCATTGCATAGAAAGGTAAAGAAAAAATGCACGAAAGATCGCATGCACGCACGATGGCTGGACAATTAAGAAGCTCGAGATTTTTCATGCAATTCTTTAACAAAGCACCGCTTCTAAAAAATAAGGATGATGCAAGAATGGAAAAGCAGAAAGATTCGCGAGACATTCAGTCGCAACTGAGATCCTAAACAGAAGAAGAAGAATCATTCACATAGAAAGGGCAAAGTTCCTCAAAATGATGCGAAAACTTCAAATCGCAACTGAGATCCTAAACACAAGAAGAAGAATCATCCACACAGAAAGGGCAAAGTTCCTCAAAATGATGCGAAAACTTCAAATCGTTTGTCGAGAAGTACATGCTCCGACTTCGAAAAAGCAGCTACCCATCCACAGTAATCATGGTGCAAAGGACATAGGGAGAAATGGAAGGACGAAGGGAGGCGGAGAGAAATAAGAGGGAGAGATAGTCCTGCACCGTGCAGCCATTTGGCTCTGTTACCGCTCAAGGCGAGAGAACCTGCAGCAGATCCACAGGAGGGAGTGGCATTTCCCTGAGGCCTTTCTGCCGCTTGCCACGCGCGGCTTCATCAGAGGGAGAGAGGAGAGTGAGGGAGAGGAGAAGAGGAGAAAGTA